CCTCCACCTATTCCCAGGGAAGCCCCACGGCTGCCATCTTCCAGAGCTCATTGGAAAAATGCAGGTATGGGCCAGCAGTGACAACACACGCTGGGCCTCACCACAGGGGAGGAGCCAGTCCTTCTTCGCCCCAGCCCTGACGAGACCTCAATATGCTGCCCATGAATGGCCTGCCCCCCACCATGGTCATGATCCCAGAGACACGCAAACAAATCTTCACAAACAAATCTCGGAACCGAGCGGCTCTTGGCAGAAATCTCTCCAGACCCAATTATCAAAATTTTAGAATTTCAAGATTGCATGGCCACTCTTGCGGCCACGCAACATCATATGCTACTCATAACCAGCAATAGAAAACAATCTGTCTAATGTTGCCTTTTCGGTAGGTCTGTGCGTTGGGGGAAAATTCCAAATAATAATGGTGGGACTAGTGTTGAAATACTGAATGTAATCAAAGTAGAGAGAGAGTAAAGTGGAGCTTATCTGCCACACAGGTAGGGGAAGGGGTGAGATGGGGGGTATTCTGGGGTTTTTGGTGGTGAAAAATGTGCACTGGTGAATGGGTATTTGATCATTGTATGACCGACACACAAACACAGAAGTTTTGTAACTGTTCTCACGGTGATTCAATAAATAAATTAAAAAAAAAAGAAAAGAAACACAACTTTTACTTAGGTCAATCTTGTTACAGAAAATAGCTGTGTTTTTGTTTTTAAACAAGCGCTAAAAGGTTTTTGGAGGAATAGCTGTAGCACGTAAGGGAACCAGAAACCTTGGTGCAACAGCAATTGGCTACTCATCCTTATCCAGTCAGTTGAAAATCTCAGGTAACAGTGTGTAGAATACTCTATAGTTCAGTCCAAATGCTCTTGAATGCAAAACCAGAATTCGAAGTATTTTGGAGTTCAAACTCATATTCTCCCTAGTTAATTCAAAGCTATAAGGTTTAAGATATTCTTAAATACTACTATTTCTAAACATCAATAGAAAGTAGGGCCAGTACCTAAACTAAATTAATAAATAAAATAAAAAATAATCTCAAGTAAGTGTTTTTCCCTTTTTCATTCTGGGTATGAAAAACTCTGGGTATGCATAACTCTCCTGATTTTCACTTTGCCACAAATGAAAAAGCATAGTGTTGGATAACTGGTGTGACCCAGAGATGGAGTCCTGTTAAAGACTTTGCAGAGGCTCAGGGGATCAGCTGAAATATTTCCAGGGTAAGAAAGAGCGGCTCAGTTCTGGAAACCATTCATGTTGACTCAGTCATGAGGTTAATCTATATATAGACTCATAAGCAAAGAGTGACTCAAATACTATTTGAGTTGTTCTAAAATATAAATTAAAAAAAAACCTAACAAAATCAATAAATATGTGAGAGAAATGTCAGAATAATCATTAAACAGAAACCGAACTTTTTTTAGCTTCTTCTCAAACATAAGGCTCATAAAATAAAAAGAACTTTTTTTATTGTGAATAAGAAAACTACGATATGAATAAGAATCATGAATAAGAAAATTATACTATAATACATGACAATTGAAAAATTACAATAAATGCAAAACCAAGTCAAATTCACTGGTTAAAATAACAATCCTAAAATTTTAATTACTTGGAAAAAATGAAGAGGGAATCAAATTAATACTTACTTATCATCCCTTTCTAGACATTTGACTAGAATTGGTAAAATCCCAGATTTTATTAGGTCATCAATTGGTGGATTTCTGTCACTGGATAATAGCTTTCTATAAAAAAAAATACTAAAAATTAATTGCTATAGTTTTCCAAGCACGAACACAAATAACAATGTCATAACTGTAAGCTGTCAGACATCCTCGGCACAACAAACTGCCACTCTGGACAAAGCGGTATTCACCTTGCAGCCTGCACAGCGCTCAGCTGGACCACTGGGTTATCACTTGTGGCATTCTGCAACACCAAACGCAAATTTCAGAATATTTTTTTTCCAAAACTCATTTCAAAATACTTCAATGAGAATATTCAATTAATAACATACCTGCAATATAGCTTCTAGTGTTACATTTTGCTTAAAGAGAAAAAGAGACAGTTTAGCAAAGAGACTATAACAAAATTGTCCTTACATTAAAATTAAATCTTCCAGTTATTAAAAAAATGACTCCTATAAAAAGCACGTTTTTAGAAACAAGGAAACTTACTGCTTTAAAATCAGCATCAACATCTGAATCTTCCAAACTCTCTTCCTGGGGAACATTTCTTTTTTTCAGTAAGTGTTCATCTCTTTTGTTCTGAAAGGTAACCAATGATTAGCTAAGACGTCATGAAGTAGCTAATATTCCCTATAAAAGGACAATATGAATTAAATGTGCATTCTACATACTATGCCTCTGGTAACAATTAACTAGATAAACCCAAATTTGCCATTCTATGAAAAAAATTAGTTTGCACACTTCAAAAAAATATAGATGAGCAACTATCAAGTTGAAGGACAAAATGGGAACAAAATTGTATTATCTAATCCTGGGTTGCATCTTGGATTTATAAAGGACTTTATTGAGAACAGGTAGCCAAATATAGTTCCATCTATGGCTTAGTAGGAATTTGTCTATGTTAATTTGGCAAGTACACTGCTGTTACATGGAAAAGTACATAGCAGTAACAAAGAACCATGCCACCAATTTAAATGGTTTAAAATAAATATATCTATATGTATTTTAATTATACATATAGAAACTAGGAAAAATAAGGCAAAAATAGGAAAACACAATAACTGAGGTAAGTAGAGTGATGACACCATCATGATGAGTGACTTTTGTACTATTTTTGAAATCCTGAATTTCAAAATGTAAAAGTCCATGCATTGTACTTGTTATTTTTAATATACTTGGAATTCATTCAATAATAAAGTTTAAAAAGTTTACTTAACAGCTATAAAGCAAAAATAATGTATAACCTGGCCCTATTTTCATTCTGATTTTTCCAGAGCTTGAATAATCAACCTTCCAGAGGTCCTTTAGGTTCCATTCTTCCAGACCTCTTCGATTTCCCAATTCAATCAATCAAAGCATAAATACCACTAAAATTTCCTATGTACACAGATACTCAATTCAGGCATAGTGTTTTCTCATGCCGTATCATGTTTGCAGTCTCTTCTGGATAGACACCCTTAGAGTGGTAAGAAAGTTTCTTTCTAGTTCTAATTTGATGCATTTTTCTTTTGCCTTTTTAAAAGCATAACTGAGTGCTTAATTATGTCAAATTTTTACTTCTTTCGCATGTATGGAAATGCACATATAATTTTAACATGTCATTTATAAATGTGGTAAACTGATTTGCCTGTTAAACTTAAAATCTTGCAACATTAAACTTATAACCTTGCCAAGTCCTGGATAGACTCTTCCTAAAATTTAAAAATATATCTTCATTAATGGGTTCATCTTGCTACTGTTCTTTTTTAACCTAAGCTCCTAGGTGAAACTGATTTGCAAGCTTTTTTCTGTATGCGTTTTTCAGGCTATCTTGCCCACTTCTTTGGATCATGGTTTTGTAGCCTCAGTAAATGAGTCACAAAGTATGATGGCCTTACCTTCTCCGAAATCATGTTAACAAAGCTGAATGTTTTGAACATAAATGACTTCTTTAATTATTTTTCAGTTTGCTTTAGGCTTCCAATTTCTTGAGTGAATTTATATATTTTTTTCTGCCAGGAAATGCTGCGCTTCTACATTTTCCGATTTATTGGCGTAAAGCTACTCATCGTCATACTGCATACTACTCGCCCAAGAAGGCATGACTTTCCTTCTCCTGCCTCTTCGACAGTCTGATGCTGCACTGATTACAGGTGCGGTTAAGTGACTTGATTTGGCAATGGGATATTAATCAAGTGGACATGAAAACTGCTTACACATCCAAGCGTGTCCTCTCTTGCTATGCTGACAACACTAAAACCAAGTGAATTCTGAGCTAAGCATGCTGTAGGGTGAGGCCGCGTGAGGACAATCAAGGGCCTATGCAACAGTAAGAGACTGAGGTAAGGGCTGGGGACAGTTCCGGGAGAGTGCGCCTGCCTTGTAGTAGAGAGGCATCTGCAAGTAAGAACCTGGTGGGACCAGTGCTTGTGACCAGGCAGCACCAAGAAGTGTGCGACCTTGAGTCATCACACCAGGTGGTGGTGGGGGGCGAGGAGGGGGGGGAATTGCTTTTTTTAAAAAAGAAACTGGAATGAGATCATCTCAGATCACTCAGTCACCAGCTAAGCTACCAGCTGACCAGAGGAGCCCAGGAAACATCAGCTGAACTAGTCCAGACCAGAAGAACCACTCAGCCAACCCGCAGAATTACTAGCTGAATTAAGTGACTACTCTCTCAAGGAATTTAGTTCGAGGGAGGCTTATTATGCAGTAAAAACTGACAAGTCAATTTTTAAATATTACATTATAACCAATGTTTTAAAGACACCTGACATGCTTTTTAACTGCCTTCTGCAGTTCAATCCCTGGCATCACATGTGGCCCCCCAAGCTTTGCCAGGAGTGATCCCTGAGTACAGAGCCAGGAGTAAGCCCTGAGCATTGCTAGGTGTGGCCCAAACCACCCCATCCTGTCGCCCAAAAAGAAAGAGCCCAGTTTGAGACTCAAAAGACTTAGGGAAAAGGGGTTCCCAAATGGACCTTCCTCTCCAACACCAACATTTCTGAAATGACACTCCTGCCAGGCAGTGTCTGTTTACCCTTTAGTGTTTTTTTTGTTGTTTTTTTGTTTTTTTAATTTTGGTTAAGTTGGATTTATTCTGAGGCTGGGGGAGGGGTGGTCCCAGCTGGGGTGCACAGGGGTGCGCAGGGATGCTCCCCACTTCTTGGAGACCGGGAACCTGGACACAGAACCTGCATCACACACCACCTGCTGACAATGGACACGATGGACCTCGGCCACTGCACGCTGATGCTTCCAAAGCACCTGTGTAGCCACTTCGAGCCTAAGACAGAGGCAGAATAAGAGCACAGAAAACTGTCCACTGCAAAGGACTTTCTCCAAGGACCCTTAGAACAGCCCCGACACGCCACAGTTTTGACACAAACACTGCCAAGAAGGCTGCTCGTTGTTTCTGCAGCCACTGCAACTGAGCCCCACAGGGCAGAAACCACAGTGGGGACTACTGGCTGCAACCACTCTTACAACTCATATCTCATTTATATTTCGGAGATTCTGCTTTAGTGTTATATTTTGGTTAAAATTTTGCTAATGTTAAAAAAAAATCGTCTAGGGGAAAAGGCAGCTCAGATAGAGAAGGGAGCACCAAATAAAGGGTGTTGGGAGGATCCTTCCAGCATGGGAGAAGCATGCTGAAAGTAGACTACAGACCAAACATGACTGCCACTCAATGCCTCTTTTGCAAACCACAACACCCAAAAGGAGAGAGAGAACAAAGGCCCTGCCACAGAGGGAGGGTGGGATGGGGGTATTGGGGGGTGGGAGGGATACTGGGATCAGTGGTGGTGAGAAATGGGCACTGGTGGAGGGATGGGTAATTGATCATTGTATAATTGAAACACAAGCACAAAAATTTGTAAGTCTACAACTGTACCTCATGGTGTCTCACTAATAAAAATTAAAAAAAAAATCATTCTGGCTCCACAATGGATGCTTTCTTAGGATTTCCCCTTTTTACTCTAAAGTACTAATTTAGGGGCTGGAGTACATTGGGTAAGGCACTTGCTCTGCACAGTGCCAACCCGGATTTGGTCCCCAGCATCCTGTATGGTCCCCTGAATACCACCAGAGGTAATTCCTGAGCACAAAGCCAGGAATAACCCCTGAGCATCACTGGGTGTGGCTCCAAAACAAACAAAAAAGTACCAATTTAGTTTCCTAATTGAAATTTTAGTGAGACTACAAACTTGCTTGCATTTATTAATAGATAATGGAAGGAGATTCCTGATATGCTCTGCACACATTCCCCCAACAGTAATGTTTAGTGAAATTTTTATTATAATTTCACTACCAGGACACTGACATTGGCATAGCCTACCTACCAACTTCATTTCCATTTCCCATCTTGCCAGTATTCACTGTGTACTGTGTGTGGGGGGGGGGGGGGGGGGGAGGGGAAGGGACTTAGGCAGAGTACATTCTACACAGTTTTGTCACCTGTATAGCTCCATGAATCTACCTCCAGTATCTTTATATTTATATTTAATATCTTTATATTAAAAAGTTCCGGGGGCTGGAGCAATAGCACAGTGGGTAGGGCATTTGCCTTGCACGCAGCCAACATGGTCAACACGGGTTCGATTCCCAGCACCCCATATGGTCCCCTGAGCACCGCCAGGAGCAATTCCTGAGTGCATGAGCCAGGAGTAACCCCTGAGCATCGCCGGGTGTGACCCAAAAAGAAAAAAAAAGTTCCAAAACAGAAAATGACCTCTCTTAGCTCATATGTTGGGCATAAATACATACATAAATATGTTACCCAAAGCCACAGGACCTAAGAACTGTTCTACAGAATGAATCTCCCAAGGGGGTGGATGGAAGGGGACCTGGGCATGCTGGTGGTAGGTGTGGTATTAGAATCCTGTATGCACGAAACTCTGCCATTAACAGGACTGTAAATGACGATGTCTTAAAACAAATGAAAAATAAAGTCTGTGATTCATTTTGTTTTTATATTTTTAAATTTTTTTTTGTCTACAGAAGTACTACTGTTATAACACTATTTGTTGAAAAGACTCCACTGAAATACTTTAGCACCTTTGCTCTACCAAAAACTTAGTTTCGTGTATTTGTGTGGATTTATTTCTATGTTCTATCTTCTGGTTCACTGATTTATGTGTCTATCCTTCTGCCAACACCACGGAGTATTTATTTCAAAACCATGCTACTGGGTGGAGTAATTACTCAAATTTTTCCTTCAGTAAGGATTGCTAGAATAAACTATCTATGGATTTAAAAAAGTCTTCTCAGATTTTAGTAGAAAATGCATTAAACCAGTATATTATCTGAGAATAGAAATCTTTAATATGCTGAGTCTTTGCTGCTCCAATTACTGTTTTTTTTTAATTAAAATTTTCTTATCACTAATCTTCAGTATTATTAAGAACTTTTAAGTAATTAGCGTTACATCTCTACATGTAACTATCAGGACTCCCTCCACTAAGAACCTGATAGTCATCCTTCTACTAAAAAAGCTGCAAAGACTGAATACGAGTTAATGATGTTTGCCTTACATGCAGCTGATCCCAGTTCAACCCTTGAATATGGTCTTGAGTAATGCCATGAGTAACACCTGAGCATAGAGCCAGGCGTAGCCCTGTTCACTGCACAAACCCTCCCTGCAAAATATAAAGTCTAGCTTAAGTCTGATTTGATTTCTTGTTAACTAGGGAGGAGGGATGGACCACACACAGCAGTGCTCAGGAATCAGAGTCAGCTTGCTTGTGTCTGTGTGGGAGGGTGTGCTCCCCATGGTACTAGGGGGACCAGAGAATGCCAGGGATCAAAGCTGCATGCAAGGCAAGCACCTTATCCTCTGAACTATATCTGCTGTACGGGGGGGAAAAAAAACCCTCACAATTTGTTTTTAGCTTTTGTGTTTTGCTATTGAATAATAAATTCTTCTAAATTTTCTTTGGATTGACTATAAATGGTTCAATTCCTGGCAGCAAACACCCAAACACCACCAGGACTGACCGCTGAGCACTAAGCAGGGAGCAGTCCCCAAGCAGATAATCCGACCATAAAGACGGGAGAAGTTCTCTATAGTTTTCTGCACCTCCACAAAATCGCATCCAAACCAATGAGGCTCTGACTGCAGGTTCGGTTCTGTTTTGAGAAGGGTTAACTTTCAGCTGCTTGCTTGGGGAACTCTGAGATGTGAAATAAGGAATTGCTTAAGACTTCTTTTGTTAATTTCACTTTTGGTCTATTTCTGGAACTAAGGGCAATAGCTGGAAAGAAAAAAAAAGTTTTCCAAAAGGAGGGTGCGGTGAGGAGTATGGGCCAGGGCAATACTGAGTGTCTCCAGTGCGCAAACAAATGTGATCCTCAGGTGCGACTATGGAGCATTCTGCATTTGTTTCCTTAAAGAAGTACGTTTCGAGGGAAAAAGAGCTGAGTGATTTTTTTTCTCCCCGAAAGGGGATGGTAGGTCAAATAAGTTGGGAAGCTCTGAACTTCCATTCCCTGCAATGCTCAGGGGGCCATATGGGATGCCGGGGATTGAACCTAGGTTGGATGCATGCAAGGCAAGCACCCTACGCGAGCAGTATAACTCCGGCTCTAAGGTAAGCAATATTCTAAAAAGAGATGCACTCTGACAATCACACTTGCTTTGCATGTATGAAACCTAAAGTTCAATCCCTGCTGAGAAACCAAAAGCAAACAGAAACAGAAGACAGCACTATAGAAGGAAAATCAAAAATCAAACATTAATAAAGTGAGTTAATTTAGATTGAAGCACAGCAGATGGACTTAAAAGCTTAAAACATGGAGAATTCTCAATATACCAGAACCGATAGAAGGGTTTTCGTTTTCATTTCAAACAGGAAAAATTGGTCTTCTCGGCGCATGGGACAAAAGCAGCCCCGAGCCTTTGCCTCTTCCTCTTCGTCCCCAAAGCTGTACCCGTCTTCTTCCCCACCCAGCCTTTACCCTCCCACCAAAGCAGGTCCTGTGGGGGCGTGGCTTTGGTAGAAGTGGGCGTGGCCTAATTTTCGGCGGGCAGCCACTCATGCGGCCGCTGGTAATTTAGTCATACCAAGAAATCTACTCCCCATACCTACACACCAACATCAAGAAACAACGCAAATCCCCACCACGTGGGGAGGACGATGAAAAGAGTCCAGAATCCTCCATAGGTGCTACTCACCTAAGGGACCTCTCTGACAAAGAAATCAGATATGAAGTCATGAAGATGTTCAATGAACTCAATGAAATAGACAGATATCCAGTAACATGACAGAAAAAATCCAACATGAAAAGTTAAAGGAAAGTAAAGGTCCACATCTGGGGATAGCTAATGCTAGATAACAATAAATGAATAATTCCAATGAGAGTCATGTGAAAAAAAAAGCCACACACACAAAAAGGGTGCACATCATTCTATTTCTATAAAGCTAAAAATATGCAAATTAATCTAGACTATATTGTTAGACATCAATCAAGGTAATGTTCAATAATGGTCACCTTTGGGAACAAGTGGAAAGTCAAAGGGGCTTCAGGCTGTAGGTAATTTCCACTCCCCTCTTCGACTCTCCATCTCTCTTTTGGGGAGTGGGAGCTACACCTGACTATACCCAGACCTTACCCCTGGCTCTGAGAGCACGGATCACTTCTGACAGTACTAGGGGACCATAAAGAGTGCTGGGGATGGAATCAGGGCAGACTCAGAGCAAGGCCAGCACCCTACCCACTGTACTAAGGCTCCAGCCCCTCCATCTCTCTTTTTTGTTTTTGGATCATACCCAACTGAGCTCAAAGATCATTCTGGGTAGTGCTAGGAATCATATTTGGTGCCAGGAACTGAAGTCAGATCGGCTGCAATGCCTTACCTGCCTCTCTCTCTGGCCTTTTTTTTTTTCCTTTTTGGGTCACACCCGGCAATGCACAGGGGTTACTCCTGGCTCTGTGCTCAGGAATTACCCCTGGTGATGCTCAGGGGACCATATGGGATGCTGGGAATCGAACCCGGGCGGCCACGTGCAAGGCAAACGCCCTACCTGCTGTGCTATTGCTCCAGCCCCGTGGCCTTTTTATTTTTTAAGTGAAAGGAACACAGCAGATGAGAGCAGACCTATGTAGTCTACCACTTGAGCCATATCCGTGGCTACAAAGTTCTTTTTCTTGATGTAGGAGTTGGTTACCCAGATGCAGTGACTTTGTGAAAATCCACCAAACTGTACATTTGAGATGTGCTGACCTTTTTCTTTTTCTTTTTTTTTTTTTTGCTTTTTGGGTCACACCCGGCGATGCTCAGGGGTTACTCCTGGTTCATGCACTGAGGGATTTCTCCTGGTGGTGCTCGGGGGACCATACGGGATGCTGGGAATTAAACCTGTGTCGGCCATGTTGGCTGCGTGCAAGGCAAACGCCCTACCCGCTGTGCTATTGCTCCAGCCCCCAAAGATATGCTGACTTTTTGCATGTATATTAAATAAGAAGAAATAAAATA